GGGGCCGCCCCGGTGCGTGGCCCCCGGTGATCCCCCGTGCGCCCGCTGAGCGCGGCGTGCCCTGCGCACCCCCGCGGCCCCGTGTGTCTCTCATCCCACCCAGTCCCCCACATGTCCGTGGGTCCCACGGCCCGTTTGATGCCCCACGTCCCCATACACCCCGAGTGCTCCGCTGATGCTCCGTGTGCCCCGTTGCTCCCGTGTGTCCCACATCCCACCTCATGCCCCGTGTCCCCATATGCCTCACATCCCTATATGCCCCGTGTCCCGAGTGCTGCCCTGTGTCCTGAGTGCTGCCCCATGTCCCGGGCGCTGCCCCATGTCCCAGGCGCTGCCCCACGTCCACGGGGATGGTGCAGGGATCAGGCCCGTGGGCCGGCGGCGCCAGGCAGCTCCTTGGCACCGTGGGCTGCAGCTGCACGGGCTATGCGGGGTTAACAGGGTGTTTTGCTTTCCGCTTCCGCAAAGCGGCTTGCACGCTGAAGCAGCATAAGGCATAGGCTGTGTGATTTCCAGGTAACCCTGCCATCTGCTCCTGGACACATCGCCTGCTGCAAGGGAGCATAGGGACTAGCAGGACACAGGCCCTGCTCTTGCTGCTTTTGCCCTGACCCCGAGATAAGATTCCCACCGTGCCRCGCGGAAAGGAGATTGTCAAAAGGGAGGTGAGTCAGTAGTGGTYGTAAATAACCTTTAATAGAGAGGTTGTTGTCATCTATAAAAACAAGGACCTCAAGCGGCGCGGATCTCCYGACAACCTGTAAGAGGTCTGCAGCCCGCTGCCTAATAAAGCTTGCCCTAAATGCACCGGGTTTGTAATAAATGTTTGTTCCCTACAGTCAATCAACACTAGGAAATAACGATTATAAGCAGGAATAGCTTACTTAGATTTACAAGCATGACTGACTTCTGGGCAATACCACAGAACTGGAAGATGCTGAGTCTACCGTCCAAATCGAGGATTACCCAGTTTGTTGATAACATTGGAAACAATCGAGGAACATTGGGAACAATCWAGGATCATCCAGACTGCTGATCACATTGGGATGCCGAGACTGCTGATAACATCGAAATACCACAAAGATCACGGGAAGGAAGAAGGAAAGGACTAGAAGGACTATATACTATAAATACTGAGCCCCAAGAGACGAAAGAGRGGASCCTGAGAGGGATTGTCTCCAGGCTGCCCCAGCRCTGTTATTCTCTGTACCCAGCTTACTCARTAAACGGTAGATGAGAAAAYTGGCTTGTCTCGTCTGTAACAGGGTTGTGCGTGCGGGTGATTCCCAGCATTGCGGACCAATGCGCTGCGCCCTGCCGCTCGTTGGCACCGAGGGGTGCAGCGCGCCCCGCCGCCCCTGGGCCCCGCACCGCCCCGCGCCCAGCTCCGGCGCACGGGCACGCAGCCGCCCCGGGGCCGCCTGCCGCCACCACCGGCCCCGGCTCACGGGGCGGGCAGGGGGGCCACGGACACATCCGCGCCCTGCGCTGCAGCAGCGCCGGGCAGGAGGTGTCGGCGGCCCCGCCGGGACCCCGGAGCCGCCGCGGGGACACGGGGCCCC